CCTTTCTTACATTTCTGAACCGTTGTTTATATGCTTCTGGTACCAATTCACAGGTGCTTAAAATAGCCTGTTTTACTTCTACATATTCTCCTGACACCAACTCTGACCTCACTAGCCCTGCCTACCAACTTGGTCTGAATTAACATTATTCATAGAGTCTCTGGCCAGTACATCTGTTTAGTCAATTTCTCAAAAGAAATAAAAAAGGCTTTTACATCATTTTAATCAAATTTTGTGTATATCCCTACCATACCTTTAGCTACGACGAGTTTGCTCATCATCACTATGCTCCTCACTAAGCCTACCTTCTACCTTCATCTCCAGCCTTTTAAATTGACTTTCCTGCCTAATTGCCAACTTCTGAAGTTCAAAATCTCTCTCTTTTTCCCTTTCTTCTCTCTCATTTTCTTTTTGTTCTGCCAGAGCAATTCTTTCCTTTTCTCTTTCCTCTGCTTTTAACCATAATTCAATTCAATTCAGTTTCAGTTCGCTTTCTTTCTCTTCAGCTAGGACTCTTCTTTCTCTTTCTTAGTCTTCAGCTATGAGCCTTCTTTGTTTTTTTTTGTCCTCTAACTCCAGTTGTCTCATTTGCAATTTAATTTTTTCTAATTCCACTGCACTTGACGGTTTCTCTGATATAGCTAAATGCTTGACTAACTTCATTACAATTTCAGCTTTTTTCATGTCCCTAGTTAAACCCAATATTAGGCTGTCTGCGGATTCTAAAAAGTGTCACCTTTTTCTGTCTTTCTAAACTTTCTTGGCAAATTTGGGAAACATCTTCAACCCCCAGAACCTCTTTGGCAATGTTCAGAGCCATTTTCCCATTTTTGACTTAACCAACAATAAGCAACCAAAATTAAACAGATTTTCCACTTCTCATTTAAGTTTGTTTTTAAAAGATCTAGGACACTCATCCCCAAGTCTGTTTAAATCTGCTGGCACCTTTCATGCCCCAAATCTGTCCAAATCCATTCAGATCCTGGACACAAGCCCCCGATCTGTTATAAAGTGGAGGTTGACCACACCTCCCTCCAGAACGAAAACAAAAACATCCAAAGAGGAGCACCTCACGCCATAACCTGAAAAAGGAGTGTAAAAAGTGGTGCAACCTGCCTTTCAAAAACTTCTAGTGGTTAAATAAAATAAATTTCTGACTCTCACTTTAAAATCAACAAGTACCAATTTATTTATCTAACTCTAACAGTGAACAAATTAACTAAGCTATTAACAATCCAAATACATCTGTTCTAACTACTGACTATTCGGGAATAAAACAAGATTCTAAAGTTATGCTGTTACCATAAATACAAGTCCCACGTTATATATATAAAAAGAAAAAGAATTTAGTCTCTCAAAATTACAGCCAGCTTACGTGTCTTCCGGAATGTTCTATGCCTTCTCCATTGATTCTTCTGTTAGGAATATTAACTGGTTGTGCCGTGGGTACCTATGTTATTTAGATAGCGCTTTCTCTAAGACACAGAGGAGGCTGTGAGAGCCAGCGACTCTCTCTTGAGAGCTGGGGACTATTAGCTCTGGCCGATGGCAGTTTGCTCTGGGGCTTTGTTCACCTGCCCCTTTCTTTTAATACCCTTGAATGACATATCAATATTTCTTATATTAAGATTGGTCCTATGTTGTCAAAACCATCAGATTTAAATTTAACCGTTTTTTGATATTTAAGTGCCTGGTTCAAATTGATTGGCTAAATTCAAAAGCTTGATGTCTTGGTAACACTGCTACTTGGCCTGCTAACTTTACTGGCCTTTTGAAACAAATGTTTCAATTCGGGTGCTCTCTGTGTACTTGCTGACTTTCAAGCTGCTGCTCACAGACATCCATTTTAAATCTCCAAGCATAGAAAAAGCTCGTCATCTTTTAAAGGGACCGTGCAATGCTTTCCCCCCCTCATATTTTACAAACACCAAATTTTAACTTCCTGTCTCCCAATCCACAAGTAATCTACCGAAATTTGCAACTCCTCCCCCTTTAAGAAAAAAGATGAGCCATTATGAAAAGATGGCTTCATTTTTTTTAAAACTTTAACTCCATTATATTACTAGCTCACTAATCTAGAGTTACACGTTTTATACTAATTCTATTTATATATGACATTGAACACTACAGTTTCTATATTTTATAAGAATTTTTCTTTTAAACTCAAAATAAAGCATCAATAATATTTTCAAGACCTGCAACATATACAATCTGTAAATTAAACACTTGTAATATGAGACTCCAATTAAACAATCTGGTGTTCTTGTCCTTAGATCTTTCCAGAACTGTCAAAGGATTGTGATCGGTATACATAATCGTCTCTGATGCATTGTTTGCAACGTGAACGTTAAAATGTTATAAGGCCATTACCAAACTAAATAACTTTTTCAATGGTTGAATATTTTTTCTGGTGGATATTGAGATTTTTTTGAAAAATAACCGATTGGCCTTTCAAATCCACAATCACCCTCCTGTAACAACACAGCTCCAACACCTGCATCGCTTGCGTCGATGGCGACTTTGAAGGGTTTCAAAAAGTTTGGCATGGCTAAAGCTAGTGCAGTGGTTAAAACTGCTTTGTAGGCATGTAGGACTCCTTTGCCACCTCTCGTCTACATACTGGCAGCAACTACAATGGCTTGCCGGCCCAGATCCTCAAGAACTGTTCAGCCACTTGGGCAAAGGCTCGGCTTTGTTATGGGGATCTGATGTGAATTGGCCTAGGGACCCTGTGCTCAGGATATGCCCTGCATGAGGCTCTGCAATTACTTACATTCAAGTGGCGTTCCCTACGCTCAATTGGGCTGGTGAGGTTTCTACTTCCATTGGGATGCCCTGTAGTTCCCATGATCCACTTACTGCATTTTATAATGACAAGGCCAGTTGTAGCACCTGTCTGAAGTCCAGCTGGGCTTCAGCTAGTAGGTGCTTCTGCATGGTTACGTCATTAATCCCAGATTCCAAACAATCTCTCAGCATCTCATTCAGGATTAACACAAAATCACATGCCTCTGCCAGTCATCATAACCTTGTCAAAAATCCCAATACGGATTCTCCCGTTCTCCATCAGCTGAATAAAACTGATAGCATCTCAGAATTAGAGGAGTTGGGGTCATAATATTCCTTAACCACCTCTGCAAACTCTTAGAAGGTTTCAGTATCTGGTGCCTTTGGGAAAGGTAAGGCTCTTATAACAAAAATGCTGTGGGTCCACATGTCATCAGAAGGATTACTTGTTGCTTTTCATCTGCCCCAATGTCATTTGCCCAGAAGAAATATCGCAGTCTTTCCACACACTTGGCCCAGTCTTTGACAGCAAGGTCAAAAGAGTCAAGCTTCCCAAATCAAGACATGACACCTGAAATGCTTTCCTCAACTCCAAGATGGCAGTTTCAAGCAAATATGTTTTTCAGGAACATCCTGTTTTCTCCCATCGTCACTGAAATAACTACACAGAGGCCGGTGTCCCATCACCGAGTCACCCTTTATTTACTAGTGAACAGTACACAGGCTGTAGAACCTCAACGGAGGAGGATCCACTTTCCTGGTTATATTAGTCAGCTAATGCTTTCATGATTGGCAGAGGTTAACAGCCTCAATGAAGAACCTCATAGTTAGCGAGGTCCACCTTATACCAATCACTACAACAGCAGATTTTCTTCCCTAAAGGAAATGAGTGAATGAGGTGAATTTTTATGGCAATTGATTGTAGCTAGTTTCTAATTCCATCTTTACTAATTAAAGTTAATTCCACCAGCTCCCATGTCCCTAAAGCAGTAGACTGAGTTCACCACCTTTTCTGACTACTCCTGGTAAGTGCTCTTTTCCGGATTCAAGTGCTCTGTTTCTCTATCTAATAAATGCAATGCTTCTTCCTTTTCCTACAAATATGCCTCTCACATCCTCCAGTCTATTTCCTGCCTTCTGGCTGAAGTTTACAGTTATCTGACCGAGTCCTACTCCAAGCCTAACCAGACCGGTTGGCTTCTTTACTCCAGACCACGCTTCTGATCTGCAATCTGACATCCCACTTTAGTCCTTTCCTCCTATACTTTTCCCATCATTCAGAAACACTCAATAACTCAATTCCAAGCCAATTATGTCCCAGACTTACTCATCATTCCATTTCCCAAGCCATACACCCAAAATTCCTCCTCTATTCAACGGTCTGTACTTTCCAAACTTACTACTCACATAGTACATGATGACTACTATCATGCCATAAAATTACTCAGCTGTTAACATGGTTACTAGTATTTAATTTTATTAAAAACCCTCTTGATAGAACAGCAGAATGGAAAACATAGAAATAGGCCACAGTATAGAATGATGCCAAGGTAGACTGATTCTTTCAGATAATGTCAAGTTTCAAAAGCTTGCTGCAGCTGGAAACTAAACCTTGAAGCTGATCATGTAAGCTAATACAGAGGAAATTTGAAATTGAAATTTGTTTGAAATTAGAAGCAACAGGATATAGCATTGAGGAAAAACAGGACAACAATAAATAATGTGATGAAGTGAGGTTTGCACTGCTCACATGAACTACGATTTGGTACAAGGGGACTTTATCATATAACATCCAGGGGGAAAAAAAAAAGAGATCAGTTAAGTAAAGCCATGAGATGCAAAAAACAAGAAACCAGAAGGCAAGGAGATAAGAGTGAGGGGGAAAAGACACAGACACACACACACACACAGACACACACACACACACACACACACAGTGACAAATAGATGCAAAGTGGTAATACATATTAGCTCAGTTTATCATAGTAAATAGAACACCTTGTTGCGTTTTTATAACAAATGCATACATAAGTAACACACCATTGGGCAGGCAGTAAAAGATTTGAATTATCCAGTACTGTAAATGAAATGGAATAGCACTAGAGACCTGTATGGATCAGTTCAAATTCTAACTATTACTAATACAAACTAAACATCATGACAAAAAAAGGATGTTCTTCTCTTTATATTTATGCTGTTTTAGATTATCTTACCTCGTGAAATACTTATACCGGTTTTTACCGCTAACTTGTGGATCTTCCTGTACTTGTAATTGCATTTTAAGAGAAGGATCATGTCTGAGAAGAAAAGGAAATATTTGACAGATGGGTTTGAAACCATTTCTTGCGGTGATAGACACAAATGTAAAATACAAACCTTCTCTTGATGTCACTAAGTATCAGTGTACCTATTAATAATTCTTGTTAAAATACTTTGTTGACCCCATAAAACAATATTCTTGCTGAATTGCAATTAGTTTTCTCCGAACTGCTTAACTTACTTCATATTGTATCTTTATGAGGCAACACAAAGAAGACTTTCATGCTATAAACCTTACTTATATTCAAATCTAGGTCCAATCAAAGAAAGTGTGCTTATCTAACCCTCCAGCACAAATCTTCCCTAATTTTCTTTGCCGTCTGTTTCCATTGACATTTCGAAAATTGAGGTCTCATCAACATGAAAGTAACCAGCTGTGATGAGATTTATACTAAACGATTTGATAAGCCTTACTTAACACATTAGTTTTGATGTCATCTTTAATAGAGCTCCATCACTTAATTAGCTGAATTTTTTGGGATTTCTCCTACTCTCCCGTTCTAACTTCAAAGGAATGACAGAAGAACTCGCAAAGAAATTCAGTTAATAGCTAAAAATGGTCATTAAATGGGGTCATTTTATGCAAGTATTGCTGCAGATGGTCTGCCATTCTTTGCCAGTGTTATAGCAAGAGATCCGGAAAACCACGCAGAAATTGTCTCCAATTGTTTTCAGCCAATTCTCTAACCACAAAATAAGGTCATTGTTATTGACAATTTATACAATTGTCACAGGATTATAGAAAGTTACATTGACTGAAATAGAATTCAAAAACAATAGTTGGTATTTAATGCTCTCAGCCAAGGGGGAGTCAGAGTGGGGCCATTTAATTGGGGTAAAGGGTGCTGGAGAGTGGTGGGACCATTTAATTGGGGTATAGGGTGCTGGGGAGTGGGGGAACCTGTTACTCGGGGAACGGGAACGGGAACGGGAACATCCTTCCCCATCCTGCTGCTGCCGCCGGTTGAGGGTCATTACGTGGGTAAAAAATTAATGGCAATTTAAAGGCCTCACCCTTCAACAGTATTTAACAAGCCCTGGCAGAGGTGTTGCTAGCAGAGCTTAAAAAGCAAACCAGCAGGCTCTGGGCTATGGGGAGGGTTGGTGTAACAGTGGCAAAGATTGACAGACCATCTGCAACAACACCCCACCCTCCCACTTGGACCTGTGGCCTGGGCTTCCTTGCCGATCTCGGGCCTCTGATAGTTGCACTGCCAGCAGCTTTTGCTTGCATTTCCTGCAATGGACACTGCTGACATCTGATTGGCCAGCAGCTTTTAGAAATTGAACTTCTGCCCCCAGTTGACACAAAGAAAGCTATTGATGCCTCAAGGGCACATAATTTCCCCAAAGTGGTGCGGGGACCTTGTTGCTTTTCCAGCCAGTAGCTGAGGCCAAAATTATCTGCATAACAGTAAATACTGCCCACATTGACTGTGAGACCACAAGACAGAGGGGCAGAAGTAGGTCATTTCGCTCATTGAATCAGAGATAGTAGGAACTGCAGATGCTGGAGAATCCGAGACAACAAGGTGCAGAGCTGGATGAACACAGCAGGCCAAGCAGCATCATAGGAGCAAAAAGGCTGACGTTTCCGGCCTAGACCCTTCATCAGAAATGGGGGAGGGGAAGGGGGCTCTGAAATAAATAGGGAGAGAGGGGGAGGCGGATAGAAGATGGATAGAGGAGAAGATAGGTGGAGAGGAAACAGACAGGTCGAAGAGGCGGGGATGGAGCCAGTAAAGGTGAGTGTAGGTGGGGAGTTAGGGAGGGGATAGGTCAGTCCAGGGAGGACGGACAGGTCAAGGGGGCGGGATGAGGTTAGTAGGTAGGAGATGGGGGTGCGGCTTGAGGTGGGAGGAGGGGAGAGGTGGGACAAAGAACAGGTTAGGGAGGCGGGGACGAGCTGGGCTGGTTTTGGGATGCGGTAGGGGGAGGGAAGATTGTGAAGCTTGTGAAATCCACATTGATAGCATTGGGCTGCAGGGTTCCCAAGCGGAATATGAGGTGCTGTTCCTGCGACCTTCGGGTGGCATCGTTGTGGCACTGCAGGAGGCCCAGGATGGACATGTCGTCTGAGGAATGGGAGGGGGAGTTGAAATGGTTCGCGACTGGGAGGTGTAGTTGTTTATTGCGAACCGAGTGTAGGTGTTCTGCAAAGCAGTCCCCGAGCCTCCGCTTGGTTTCCCCGATGTAGAGGAGCCACAACGGGTACAGCGGATGCAGTATACCACATTGGCAGATGTGCAGGTGAACATCTGCTTGATGTGGAAAGTCTTCTTGGGGCCTGGGATGGGGGTGAGGGAGGAGGTATGGGGGCAAGTGTAGCACTTCCTGCGGTTGCAGGGAAAAGTGCTGGGTGTGGTGGGGCTGGAGGAGAGTGTGGAGCGGACAAGGGAGTCACGGAGAGAGTGGTGCCTCCGGAAAGCAGATAAAGGTGGGGAGGGAAAGATGTCTTCGGTGGTGGGGTCGGATTGCAGATGGTGGAAGTGTCAGAGGATTATGCGTTGGATCCGGAGGCTGGTGGGGGGTACGTGAGGACGAGGGGGATTCTTTTTTGGTTGTTATTGCGGGGACGGGGTGTGAGGGATGAGTTGCGGGAAAGGTGGGAGACACGGTTGAGGGCGTTCTCGACAACTGAGGGGGGGACATTCCGCTCATTGAGTCTGTTCCACCATTCAAATGGGATCATAGTTAATTTAATAATCCTCAACTCCATTTTCTTGCCTTTTCCCCATAAGCCCTGATTAAAAATCTTTCTATCTCAGCCTGGAAAATACTTAAAGACCCAGCCTCTACTGGTCTCTGTGATAAAGAAATCCACAGATTCATCACCCTTTGACAGAAGAAATTCCTCTTCATCCCAGTCCTAACTAGAAGACCCCTTACTGAGATTATGCCCTCTGGTCCTAGGATCTCCCACAAGGGGAAATAACCTCTCCGCATCGACCTTGTCAAGTAGCCTAAGAATCTTTTATGTTTCTCTCATTCTTGTAAACTCCAATGAGTACAGCCTATTCCAATCTACTCAACCTCTCCTCACAGGTCAATTCCTCAAGACCTGGGATCAATCAGGTGAAACTTCTCTGGACTGGGTCTAAAGCCACTTTTCTTCGATAAGGGGACAAAACTATTCATAGTATTCTAGTCTAACTACAGTCTTGTATTTTCTAGCAAGTCTTGCCTATTTTTATATTCTGTTCCCTTCAAAATAAAGTCCGACATCCTATTTGTACTGTAGCTTTCTGCAGTGTTTTTCTACATATATAATATTCAGCTCTGCTACTGTTCCTGACAAAATGCATAACCCTACATTATATCCCATCTGCCAAGTTTTTGCCTGTCTATAAGCCCTCTGCAGGCTCCCTCTGTCATCCTTACCATTTGCTTTTACATCTATTCTTGTGTCATCTGCAAATTTCACTTTCCTCATCTAAGTCATGAATATATATTGTGTATAATTATAGCCCCAGTACTCATGTCACTTCCACTCTATGAGGTAGAGGTTGCCAGCCTTAAAATGCCACTCTAATCCTACCTCCCTGTTGTCTATCAGTTAGCCAATATTCTATTCTTGCGAACATACTACCTCCAATGCCATGAGCTCTTACTACATAACCTAGTAGGTGGTATTTTATCAAATGTCTTCTGGAAATCCAAATATATTACATCCTTTTATCTATCTTGTTTGTATTCTCTTCAAAAGAATTCTAATAAATTTTTAGGCATGATTTCCCTTTCATGAAGCCACGCAGACTCTGTTTCGTTACATTATTTCTAAACGCTTTGATATCACATCCTTTATATTAGGCTCCAACATTTTCCCAATAACACACATTCAGCTAACTGCCCTATTGTTACCTGCTATTTGTCTCCCTCCCTTTTTGAATGAAGATGTCATATTGGCAGTTTTCCAATCCGTCTACACTTTTCCAGAACCTAAGGATTAGAAGATTACTACCAGTGTATTGACTATCTCTGTAGCTACTCCTTTTAATATCTTAGGATATTACTCAGGTCTAGGAGATTTATTTTCAGACTCCAATAGTTTCCTGGTACTTTTTCTCATGATACTTCTTGCATTTATTTTCTTTCTCTCTTTGGCCCTTGATTATTTAGTATTTTTGGAATGCTCTCAGTGCCTTCTACCATGAAGACTGAATTGATGTGTTTATTAAACTTCTCTGCCATTCATTGGTTCCCCATTATTATTCTGTCAGTGTCATTCTCCAAGGAGCTTATGTTCACTGCTCCCTCTCAAACCAAATGCTAAATTCTAGAATATTTTACTCCGAGATCATTTATTTAACCTGTCCCATTACATATCACCGATCAAAAATAGATCGAAAATCCCTGGATGAATCTCAAACATACTGTTGTAAGAAACTGGTCAAAATAACTCTATGAACTCTTCCTCTGTCAATCTGAGTTTCCAAATCTACTTGAAGACTAAAGTCACCCATGAATAATGTACCACCTTTGTAATATGGTCTCATTATCTCCCTATTTATTCTCTGAGTTATAGTATAGTTTTGGATAAGCCTTTCTTCAAGAACTACAATTTTTCAAACAGGTAGCCATAGCAAGAAATGCTCTTTAAATATGTATGAGTTTTAAGATTTACTTATTATAAAGTTTACATGTAATTGACGATTTAGCTCATCTAAAAAGAACATAGCAATTACGCTGCCAGTTGCTTGATGGCTTCTTGTTTTTTCTCTCTGTATCCTCTCCAACGTTGATCAACAAATTTTGGTACAGAGTCATTGTAATCTAGCTGAACGGTGTAGCTTGGGAAATGTTCCAAATTACTGAACATGGTCTTATAGTCAGGTACTTTCTTCTGCATGATTGAAAGAAATACACAGAATTTGTGATACTTAGATCCAGGCAACTATTCAAAGCACATTAACTTACATAGATGAATATGAGAATACAATAACATCAAATTAATACAAAAGTATGAGAATTCAATGTAGTAAGCATTTCTGCATTTCAATCTCCATATTTGAAAAGCATACTGTTGACTTAGTGGCAGTAAATTCTCCTTAAGTAAATGTCAGTAAGTAATAATTTGTCACTGATTCAATAATTTAGCAGTTCACTACTTCTTTAAAAGTATTTTTTTTGCCACATGGTATTTCAAAGACTTTATAAACTACTTTGTTGCACTCATGGTCTCCTGAATACCAATATTTCTGCAGAAAATACTTTTTTGCTTTTGAATTTTTGATATGATAACAATTTATGGCATTACCTAAAAACATGACATTTAGGCATATTTTCAAAAACCATAAATCTCAAAAAAATCCAGTTACAGGTTAGAGTTTGTGAAAATCAAAATCTAAGGTTTTGAAGGAGCATTAGCATCTAAAAACATATTACATGTGTGAATGCAATTAAAAAAAGGCTCCTTTCTTGGCAAATTTTAGAAAAACACCAGTGGCATGGTCAAAACAGAAAATATAGTGGATGCCATGCAATATAGCAACACAATGATGAGAATATTCCTGAAATTGTCAGTAAAATAGAGTCATAGTGTCATACAGCACGGGAACAGACCCTTCCATCCAACCAGTCCATGCTGAACATAATCCCAAACTAAACTAGTCCCACCTGCCTGCTCCTGGCCCATATTCCTCCAAACCTATCCTATTCAAATATCCATCCAAATGTCTTTTTAACGTTGTAATTACATCCGCATCCACCACTTCATCAGGAAGTTCATTCCACACGCGAACCACCCTCCGTATAAAAAATTTGCCTCTTATGTCTTTTCAAAAATCTCTCCTCTCACCTTAAAAATGTGCCCCTTAGTCTTGAAATTCCCCATCTTAGGCAAAAGATAACTACCATCAACTCTATCTATACTTCTCATTATTTCATAAACTTCTTTCAGGTCACCTCTCAACCTCCTACGCTCCAGTGAAAAAAGTTGCAGCCTATCCAGCCTTTCCTTGTAACTCAAACATTCCATACCCGGCAACATCCTGGTAAATTTCTTCTGAACCCTCTCTAGTGAAAGTCCATTTGTCTGCTCCAACTACCTTCCCTCACTATTGCTATCTGCTGCTGGAGGTCCCACAGAACTGCTCAGCTCCCTTGTTCGGTGCCTGGACCCCATCACCGTCGTCATCTATGGCTGGTGGTCCCATCATTATAAGGCTGAAGCATTTGCAACTATCTTCAGCCAGAAGTGCCAAGTGGATAATCCCACTGAGGACTGCAGCATCACAGATGCCAGTCTTCAGCCAATTCAATTCATTCAATGTGATATCAAGAAACAGTTGGAAGGCTGGACTGCAAAGCCTATGGACCCTGTTATTATTCCAGCAGTAGTACTAAAGACTTGTGTTCCAGAATCTGCCATACATCTAGCCTAGCTGTTCCAGTATTGCTACCACACTGGCATCTACTAAGCAATGTGGAAAATTGCCCAGATATGTCCAGTCCCCAAAAAAAACAGAACAAATCCAACCTGGCCGACCACCCATTGCCCATGGCAAGAGAAAATGAACAGCTGAATACTTTTTTAAATGTAGAAGAGAGAGATTTGGGAGTCCTTGCCCATGAATCATAAAAAGCTAGCATCCAAATTCAGCAGATAATAGGGAAGGCAAAAAGTATTTCAAAGAAAATGAAGTATAAAACTACAAAGCATTTGCTAAAACTACACAAGGCTCTAGTCAGACCACAACTGCAAACAGTTTTGGGTCCCTTATCTAAAGAAATACATATTGGCATTGGGGCAGTCTAGAGAAGGTTCACAAGACTGATGTCAAATGTGAAGAGACTTTCATGAGGAGACATTGAGTAGGTTGAGCTTGCACTCATTGAAATTTAAGCAAAACAGAGGCGACCTAATTGAAATATACAAAAGTTTTTTAAGAGGACTTGACAGGTGGGACAGTCTGGGACCAGAAGGCATAATCTCAGAGTAAGGGGTGGCACATTTAAGATAGAAATGAAGAAGAATTTCTTCTCTCAGTGAGTAGTGAATTTTAACTGCAGAGGGCTGTTAAAGCTGGATCATTAAGTATTTTTAGGGTGAGGGTTGGCCGATTTATAACTAGTTAAGGGTTACAGGCAAAAGAAAGGGAAGTAGATTTGAGAATGATCAGATCAGCCATAATGCCAATGAAGGGCAGAGCAGACTCGATGGACTGAATAAGCTGCTTCTGCTCATACATCTTACTGTCTTAATTGGTCTACTCTCGATGATCAGTAAAGTGAGGATGGGATCATTGATTATGCTGGTGCACGTGTTCAAGCTTCTTTATCTTCTGCCTGACAGCAGAGGTTGGAAGAGAGCATTACTAGGGTAGAAATGGTCTTTGATGATGTTGTCAGCCTTTCTGTGGCAGCAAGAAGTGTAAATGGAGTCCATGGATGGAAGGGTAGTTTCCATGATGGTCTGGGCTGTGCACACAACTTTCTGTAGCTTCTTACGGTCCTGGGCAGAGCAGTTGCCATACCAGGCTGTCATGCACCTGGATAGAATGACTTATATGGTGCATCAGTAAAAGCTAGTGAGTGTCCTTATGGGCATGCCGAATTTCCTCAGCCAAAAAAGAATCTTGATAGGAGTAGAGTGAGAGAAAGAAGTCTGAAGTTGAGTCAGAAGGTTAAGGAGAAAGGACATCATCACGAATCGTTAGTCATAAAAGTGTGTGATCCACACATATATTTAGTTAACATGTTTGATAGTGTAAAGATTAGGTTTGTACATGTAGGTAGATCGTGTTTCACCTTCAGATGTCCATGGTGAAAGGAGGATTTGGAAAGACTCAAATGAGTCTGATGTATTGGATTGTTGGAATCCAAGTAGAATACTAGTCGTTACTCCAATACAAGTACACCTGAAACTAGTTCAGGTCGAAGTCAGGGTCAGACAGATATGTCTGGTGAAGGTGAGAATTCAATTGATGGTCAAAAGCAACATCAGCCCTTGTTACAGAAAACATCTCTTTAGTCTCAGGCCAAGATGGGTCAATGCCTTGCACTAAGTTCTGAAAGTTTGAGTCAAGAAAGGAGGCATCCTCTTAGGAATAGGAACCAGTGGTGGCTATACTTATAAATAAAAGGAAAACATGAGATGTATACAAGTTGCATGGAATTTTTAACATTTTGCTCATTAATGAATATATTACACAAAGTACCTGCTTTTGACCATTTGTATACAAGTAAACATCAGAATAAACTAGTTGAATTTGGTGTTGACTCTCCATTTGCAGCACGTTGTAATATCTTTGCAGAAAAGATGAGACTAAAGCAAAAAGGAAGCAGTCAGGACAAGGAAACTGAAAATTGAAAAGTGATGTAGGGTAACAAAAGAGTCACAGATGTTGGTAGAAACAGACTGTACAGGTGAGAAAATACTGTGTCCTTTTTGTGGGATGCGTAGGAGATTAAGTCATTCCTCTTCAGACCTCTCCTTCAACATGGACTCGCCTAAACTAGAAAATTTCATTGACTTTGTAGCTAATTTCCATTTCTCTCTCACCTTTCTCAGTCCATTTCTGACTTTCCTTTTACCTTAAACTGTCCTGCTGTCAATCCTATCTTGGACCTTCCCTTTCTACTGGCTTCAAGTATGTTACATTTCTGTCTTTCTTCAGTTCTGATGAAAGTTCATTCACCTGAAATGCCAATTCAATTTTTTTCACAGATACTGTGAGACATGCTGAGCATTGACAGCATTTTTGTTTTTGTCTCTCTCTCTCCCTGAATTCCAAAAAGGGTGTCATCAGGGTTGCTAAGTCCATCTACAACTGAATGAAGTCAGATTGCCAGAAAAGGACATCTATTGAATCTCTGCCTGTATAACGTGAATAAGGAGGTTCTGAAGCACGTGGATGCATAACAGTACATTTATCAAAATTACAGACAAAGTAGCAAAAGCCCTTAACAGATCAGCTTACAATAGTAGGCACATTTTTCCGATGGTGTCATGAAGAAAACACCAACTTGCTGGATAATTCTGATATCAAAACTCAATACAATTACCAACAGAGACAACAAGGTGCAAGGCTGGATGAACACAGCAGGCCAAGCAGCA